TGAATAATTGATTTCAAATGGAGATATTTTACTTCAGTCTGCATAGTATAGAGAGATGGCAAGACCCATATGTAGGGCATATTACCTATCTGACTATAGTTCAACTAGGGTAGAGCAGGCCATGAAAACCAGCAGCTAATGTCAGAGGGGCTCACTGATTTGGAGTACTGTTAGTTAAAGTGGCAATCTTTGTGGTAAGCAATGATCTAGCCAGGATTTGATAGGAAGTTCTGGGAAATGACTATCCATGGGTCCTTGATAAGCTCTTCACATATCCTGTGTTTACCCAAGGCTGTGTGCATGCACAGCAAAAACCAGAGTGAACCCAAAGCCACCCTCAGTGACAGAGCCTACATGCATGTGCCATCTACAGAGCAGATGGGAGAGGACCCAGCAAAAACTAAAAAAAGCTGGGCATACTTGAAAATGACCTTCACTTCAAATGTACCCTCCAGCCCATACATAGATACTTTACTAGTGAGTAAAAATCTTACTAGTTTGACATGTTTAAGCAAAACTTCTGACGAATTATTGGCTGAACACCAGGCTATGCAGAAATAGGGATGACCATAAGAAAGCCATGCTTAAAAAATAAAATGAGGGCCGGCCCGGTGGCGCACTGGATAGTGCGCCGCTTGGGAAGCGCGGCGGCGCTCCCGCCCGAGGGTTCGGATCACACGCACCCAAAAAAAGCTAGTAGGGAAACTTGCCAGAATTTGAACCCAGATCTGCCAAAACTCCAAAGTCAGACCATAATTGTGTCTCCCAGTGTGTAAATATCTATCAAATACTTTGTGCACATGTGTGAACATGCCAAACTTTGAATGATTTAAGTATAACCTGTATTTTAATACTTAGGACAGCATCATAAAATTAATTTCTAAATGAATATTGAAATTTATCCAGTTTCTATGTTTAGCAATTGGTGTTAATTTACCTCTCATAAGTGCTAGAAAGGTTCTACAATACCTCCTCCAGCCCTTTTATACTATTCAAGCTTTTTATTAGCCCTAATGTTGATTGCCTTCCCAGGGCATCTACTAGTTTGAGTATAATTTGTCTAATTAAATTTAAAGCTTGAGTAGAGAAATTAGTGACCACATACTGCTAGGGAGACAAACATGACAAATTTAATCCAGGCGAGCTACTAAACAACAGACAAAACAACAACCACTATCACTCTAGTGCGGCAAAAATCAGAATCAAGAGTTGCTACAATATAATACCTAAAATATCTAGTATTCAAAAAAACTTATGAGATGTACAAAAAAACAAAGCAAACTAAGCATATTCAGGAAAAACAGCAGTCAGTGGAAGCTATCTCTGAATGATCCCAAATATTGGGTATATTAGACAATGATTTTTTTTAAAGCAGTTATTATTTACACTAAATGAGCTAGAATATTGAATTAAAGGTAAGGATGATCACAACAGCTCAACCAACAGAGGATCTCAATAAAGAGAAAGATTGACAAAAAATAAGCATATGGAAACTCTGGAAATAAAAAGGACAAAAACTGACACAAAAAATTAACAAGAGGGGCTCGACAGCACATTTGACATGACAGAAAAATGAATCCATTAATTTGAAGACATACCAATAGAAATTATCCAATCTGAAGAACAGAGAAAGAAATAACTGTAAAGAAAATGAATAGCACTTCAGAGACATGTGGTACAACATGAAGTGTACAAATATATAAGTAAAGGGAGTCCCAGAAGAAGGAACAGAGAAAGGGTTTGAAAAAATATTTGGAACAATAATGGCTAACAAATTCCCACATCTGAAATAGAACGTTAATCTACCAAGTCCAAGAGGCTCAAAGAAGCCAAAGTATGTTAAACACAAAGAAATCCACACCTTGATACATTATAATCAAACTGTTGAAAGTCAAAGAAAGAGAAGATCTTTAAAGCAGTAAGTGCAAAAGACTCATCATGTACATGGAAACAACATAACTAAAGGTTGACTTTTTGTCAGAAACAATGGAAGCCAGAAGGCAGTGGAATGATGCATTAAAAGTGAGAGAAGAAAAAAACCTATAAGCAAAACTATTTTTTGAAAATAAACATTTCCAGATAAACAAAGACTATGAGGATTAGTTGCCAGCAGACTCGCCTGACAAATTCCAAAGGAAGCCCTTGAGGCTGAAAAGAAGTGATAACAGATGATAACACCAATCCCAAGAAGAAATAAGAGGGCCAGAAATAGTAAATATGTGGATAAATATAAGAGTCTATATTTTTTTCTCATTAAAAGACAAAAGATTGTATAAAGAAATAATCGTTACACTGTATTATGGGGTTTATAACATACACAAATGTATAATATGTAATAACAGCAACACAAAGGATGGAGGGAGGAAAAGGAGATATATAGGAGCCAAGTTTATATTTCACTGAAATTAAGTACTATTCTGAAGTAGACTATGGTAAGACATATACTCTAATACCTACAGCAACCACTAAAAAATAACTAAGAAAAACTAAAAAATTCTACATAGTAATCAACATGGCATTTCACACAATACAAAGGTACTTCAAAAGGTTCATGGAAAGATTTATACTATCTTTTAATTCTTCTTTCAACAAACTTTTTGCAGTATCCTCCTAGTAGGCAATAATGGAGGAAGAGGACCGAAACTGATGAGACAAATAGAAAGCAAATTGCAAAATGGCAGATGTAAAAGACAGAGAAGTCTGAATGAAGAGAAGACCAAGACCCAATTATATACTGTGCACAAGAGATAGAGCTTAGATTGAAAGACACAAAAACATTTAAAGTAAAAATCCAGAAAAAGATATATTACGCAAACGGTAACCTAACCATCAGAGAGTTGCAGTAAACAAGAAAGTATCATATTGGCATAAGGACAGGCAAATAGATCAATGGACTAGAATTAAGGGTCCAGAAACAAACCCTTCTTTTTATGGTCATGTGATTTCTGTCAAAGGTGCCAACAAAATTCAATAAAAGGTACTAAAAAAATTAAGATATCTATAGGAACTTAAGACCTTTACATCATACCTTTTAAAGAAGTTAACTCAAAATGGATCATACATCTTAATGTAAGTACTAAAACTATAAAACTTCTAGAAAAAAATATATGAGAAAATCTTTGTGAACTTGGGTTAGACAGAAAGTTCTTATGATACAAAACACCAAAAGCATAAGCCATAAAATAAGTGATAATATGAACTTCATTAAAATTAAAAACTTTTGCATTTCAAAAAACACCATTTAAAAGATGAAAAGACATCATACAGACTAGGAGAAAATATCTGCAAGTCATAGATCAGATAAAGAAATTTTATCCAAAATAAAGAACTCTCAGAGCTCAGCAAGATAAACAGCTCGGCCTAAAAAATGGGCGAGACTTGAACAAGACATTTCATCAAAGAAAACATAATAATGGCTGAAAAGCACATGAAAAGGTGATCAATATTAAAAATCATTAAGAAAATGTACATTAAAACTATAATGAAATGTCACTACATATCAATGAGAATGACTATAATCCAAAAGGCATGTTTGTGAGGACATGGAGAAATTGGAACTCTTCTACATCATGAGTGGAAATGTAATACTGTATAGCCACTTTAGAAAACAGTTTACCAGTTTCTTTAAAAAGTTAAACATAAACTTCCTATATGACCGAACAATTCCACTCCTAGGGATTTACCCAAGAGAAGTGAAAACATATGTCCACACAAAGCATTCTATGAAATTGTTTGCAGTACTTCTCAGAACAGCTCAAAACTGGAAACAATTCAAATATCCCTCAACTGGTGACTGGATAAACAAAATGGGATATATGCATATAATGGGAAACCATTCAGTAATAAAAAGTAATGAAATAATGATAGAGGCTGTAACACAGAATACCCTCAAAAACATGCTTATTGAAAGAAGCCAGATGCAAAAGATTATATATACTGTATATTATTTGATGCATTCAGTATGCATAAAAGATTATGTATATTGTATACTAATCACACACACACACACACACACACACACACACACACACACACACACACACACACACACGCAATGTACAATTATATTCATATGAAATATCCAGAAAAGGTAAATTTGTAGAGACTGAAAGCAGATCAATGGTTGCCTTGGGCTGGGAGTGTGGACTGACTGCAAAATAGTTTTTACAAATTTTTTTCAAGGTAATGGAAATACTCTAAAAATGGATTATGGTGATGGGGGCAAAGCTTTATAAATTTACTAGAAATTATTAGATTGTATGTTTACAATGGAACAGCAAACAGCAAATGTGTAAATTCTACGAATGAAAATGTTTCTTCAATAATGCTGTTTTGAAAAAGCTGTGGCACTCACTTTAACACAAAGAACTGACTCAGATGAATTGAAAAACATTACAAACCTATCAATTAAATCTGTTCCATTTAAACACCATTAAACATTTGAGGGAAAACTTGCATAAAATCCTAGCTAATCTATTATTACCAAATCTGTTTTGTGAATCTAGCCTATTGCTTGAAGAAATAGGCCACATGAACACGTCAATTAATGTAATTTGAGTAGCATAAGCATGAGCTGAACTGATAATGAGACTATCACTTCTACCTTTGAAGATAAGTTTTAAATTTGATTTTTAACTGTAGGTTCTTTACTTTGACACTCAGACGTAAGAAAACTCAGCATACAAATAGTACTGTTAAATGCAGTAAACATAAATTCCCAAATCATTTTATTTTTTCTTGAAACAGTAAAAATTAAGAATGCAGGACTTAATTTCAGAGCTTCATTGACTATATGACATGTACGATTTTTATTTTTTCATAACTAGGTCCGTGTATTTCAGTAAAAGAAACCTTTGACTCAAACGTTAAAAGCTTTCTGTGCAAAACTACCATAGTCTGAAATTATATTTTGCTGTTTGCTATTCCATTCAAGAAACAATGTAGTTATTGTAATGTATTATTTGTTCCTCTTTTCATGTGATACATAATACAGAACTTACCCTGCTTTCTTCTAGGCTATCAAATGGACCAGGTGGATCATCCAGACAAAGAAATTCTCTCACTGCAAGGCTTTTCAAAAGAAAAAAAAAAAAAAAATTAGCTGGGGTAAAATAACTTTACCAAAGATAGCAAAAAGCAAGTTACTTTGAAGCTATAGTGTTTTAAGTATACCAAGCTGTACAGTGTTTTATTAATATACCAATAACAAGTTGGTATGTGTTTTCATACAAGGAGCCAAGTACAAATATCAAACTACAGGGGAGACAAAGATTTTAAGCTAATTTCTAAGATCTTATAAACAGAGAACGCAAATTTATTGTTACATATAGTACAAACTACAGGACTTAAAACCTAATATGGAATAACGGTACAAGAGATCAACCTAAATATTGAATACCCTCTTTATGACCTTCAAAGAAACATCAGACTGAACTAGTCTAACAAAGTCATTATCCTATAATAAATAAATACAATTTCTAATTTATACTTCATCTGTTTCTCCTTCAGTGGAGGCTTCTAAAGTAACTTAAAAGCATTTACTCTAAAACAAGTTAAAGATTGACTTTGCAATTACATTTATTGCATTAATTTACTTGAATATTTTCCCCAGGTAGTGCAAGAGAAAATATTGTGACCATCCCATTTCTGTATTGCCACACATTTTAAAATAACAATAAAATAATATGGTATTGTTGGGCTTATACTTTGCAATGATCAGAAACTTGATCATTGGTTAAAATAAACTTCCTTAACAAAAATTCACTTCAAAAAAAGCAATTTTGAGCTGAGAGAACTCTGTGTGCATGTCAAAGTATAAATGTGGAGCCTTAGATTTTTTTTCAGTTGTGAAAAAACAAGAATATGATTTCTTGATGTACCACATAAAGGAAGATGTCAACCTGTGCTGAAAAGGAAATGGAGCTTTTGGGTTCATATTGGAGCTGACAGATTGATGATGACAGGGGGTGTTCATAAGCAAATGAGATTTCTAGTGAAAACTTTCCAAAAGAAAAAAACAATATAAATTAATATAGAGAAGTGGTGTTAAGAAAATAATTCAGAAGGTCCCATAGACAGAAAAAGGAAGTTGTTGGTGATGTGCCACTCGAAGAGCAGATTTCTGTATTATAAAATCTTGATAATATAGGTAAAAAAGGACACATTTGGGAAAACCAAGAATAGGCTTGAATATTCACAATGATGGATAAATACAGATGGAAGGGATCTAAATGTGATCTTCAGTATGCTTTTTACCCCTTTAACATGTTCAGCCAAGAGTATACCTAAACATTGCCAGAGATAGGGAATATACTACTTCTTGAAATAAACCATCCCATGTTTGAATAACGCTGAAAATTAGAATGAATTTCTTTCACTGAGCTGAAATTTTTCTCCCTGTAGCTTCTATTTACAAGTCTTAGTTCTGCTTTTGTGGGCCATTCAGGGTAAATCTAAGTCCTCTTTCACATGATAACCCTAAACACATATCAAGAATGTTATACTATTTCCTCTAATCTTTTATTCCCAAGAAGCAATGCTAATACAATAACACTTTCATAGTACACTGTACACACAGGGCTTCCACATACCCTATTTTATTTAATTTTCACAACAATCATAAGAGGTTAGGATATGCATTATATCTCTATTTTACAAATGACACCAAAGTTCAGAGCGGTAGAATGGCGTGCCCAAGATCACACAGTGCAAGCAGTAGAGCTGGACCTTCAATGTGTCTTCTGAGTATAAATATGTGTCCTTTTCTACCTTTAAATTGTTTTGTCTTATGTTTTGATTCATTTGGATTCTTTCTCTTTGCTGGTCACTTCTCTGTGAACACATTTAACTTGTCTGTATTCCTCTTTAATTGTAGCCTACGGAATACTAATAGTCTAATAGCACAGAATATAACAGAACTACCACATGGTCATCTGGTATTGTACTTCTATCCACCTATTATTTATACTGGAGTACCTACGATTAGATAAAAACGAGCTACAGGTAATAAACTAACCCTGCGATTGAGATGACAAAAGCTAAGAGAATAGCATTTAAGATTGCAAGAAAAATGCTAAGAAGCATATGGAAGGGTCTTGTTTAATACTTTCAGTATATGACAATCCAGTGTAAGACATTATTTTCTTACATGTTTATGCATAGATTTCCATATACTTCATAACATTCTTACGTTCACAAATTAATTATTGGACTGCTGCTGCTAGAAGAGGAAAAGTAGGTAAAGGAGTCTATATATCCCTTTCTATACTTTTGGTTTATAGTAGAAATTTAGCCTAGATGAACAGTGATGTTGGGCCGGCCCCATGGTGCACTTGGGTGAGTGCAGCGCTTGGGTGCACAGCGGCGCTCCTGCCGCGGGTTCGGATCCTATATAGGGATGGCCGGTGCACTCACTGGCTGAGCACGGTGCCGGCGACACCAAGCCAAGGGTTGCGATCCCCAGCCAAGGGCTGCGATCCCCTTACCGGTCACACACACACACACACACAAAAAAACAGTGATGTTGACAATGTATCTACCTGAAGAAATCTTTTTTGGAGTGGCTATTCTAATTCATCTTCTTCCCTAAAAATCTTCATGACCTTTAGAATCTTTAAGTAGAGTCCTACTTAAATGAAGTCCACTGGATTCCCTGTGTTTTTTCAATATAGTTCCAAGGTTATAATCCATGCCCTACTTTTTAAAATCTGTAGTATAAGAATGAAATTTCAAACTCACTTTACAATTTTAATTTATATAGCTTTTCAGTGATTCACTACATTTCTTCTGCTTCAACAGGACTCACTTGGTAGAAGACGATAGTCGATACCCTCAAACACTATTCCTATCCAAGGAGAGGACACACTAGAATCTCTGGGAGATGACTGTTTGAGAAAAGAACTGCTTTCTTCTCAGAAGTTCTGGTAAATTTTTTTTTCCCTAGGAAAGGAAGCCCTCAGCTCTGCTTGAGAATCACTGACTAGAGAATTTTATTAAAATTCAATAAATATCTATTGACTGCCTACGTGTACCATGATTCTGTGCAGTCATTTTTCTATATATTATCAATGCATGGTTTATAAACCAAGTGGATTCAAATAATATGTAAATACCAGAGTCTATATTATTAAATGGTATATGGATTAAATGGAAATTAATTTAGAAAAAAAAGACTTACTTTTTTTTTTTTACTTGTTCACTGATAAATTCAATATATACAGCCCCCTAATCTCTGTTCTGTGTTCAATCTTTAATACTTTTGCTTCCATTGGACTGTGATAATGAATAGGTAAGAAAAACCTTAGGATAGGAGAGAAACCTATGTAAGAGAAAATCCAACAATCTTGAATTAAAAGGCAAGGAAATATTCTTTCTATTTCTTTTATTAACTGAAGTACCTTTTTAGTGTGTTTGAGAAAACTCTATTTTAAAATTGGGATCTGCTGTGGCCTTATATTGCCTGACGACAAGGAGACCACAGGTGGAATCCTTCAGCATTGCTTTCATTATCAGAGCAAATTTACCTATAACTTCAACTCTGATTCTCTTGCAAAAGTTATCTTTAAAAGAGTTTTGCTGTATTTTCTAACTATGCTCTTAATAAACATTCTATCCAGTGAAACTTCACCTTATATTTACTATTACTTTTTCCTCCTTTTTTCTTTCATAGGTAGGTATATTTTTATATTTCACAATTTTTTTCAAAAGGCCAGTAATTTAATAGCTAAATGTGATCTTTATCTCAAAATAAATTTTAAAAAGAAAAAACAAAAAACCCTAAAAATAATGCCTACAATTCATTTAAAGGTCAATTAAGAATTAAGTAAAAAATGTACTAAAAATACTAGATACCAATTGTGCCCAAACCAAATTGGGCAGTAAAAGTCTTTGCATAAAAATACTACTGAGGAATTTCAGATAGAAATGTTGTATTAGTTAATATTTCTCTTCAGTATTCTCCACTAGTTAAAAGAAAATGATAAAAAAAATAGATATTAAATAATCCTTGAGGATAAGGACTCAAAGCTAGTGACAGAGAGGTTCATAGTGTATGAAACAGGCGGGCGGGCGTGATGCTGAAGGGCTTGCACTTAGCTTCCTGTGGTAGATGCGAAAGTCTGGCAGTGGGGGCCTTGTTAAGACCTTGGTCCTCTCTCACCTAGATAATTTTAACCCACTTGCATCTCTACTATCGCTTCTAATCCGGAATACTTCAAAAACCTATATCTGTGGCTCCTTTACCAAGAGGAAACAAAGCCAATCTCTTGGTGTTGGCATAAAGCACCTGTCTACATTCAAGTGTTAACTTCTTTTCTCATTTGACACTCCAGCAATAGTACATGCTCATACTTAGCGTGCTGTCATGTTTCCACGCCTTTACTCATGCTTGCCGCTATTACCCTGGCCCATCCTTCCCAACTCTACCTGGCTAACTCTTACTTATTCTTTATACTCAGCTCATCTGTTATCTACTCATAATAAAAGCCTTCTCTAACTAAAACCCTCTTCCCTACACTCTACTAGGTTCAGTATTCTTCCATGTATTACCATAGCGGCTTGAAGAGACCCCTTTCATAGGATTAATTATGCTGTATTATTAGTATTGTATATTTATCAAGCAGTCTGCCCCGCTAAAAGGCAGATGACAAGTTCCCGGACTGTGCAGATCCTATCCAAATCAACTAGCCATAGCGCAGAATAAGAATTCAACAAATAATAAATTCATTTGTAAGAGGTATGCAAGTAGAAATAAAATTTACAAAACCATTAAGAATATCAGAACAAATTTCTATTACTGGTATAGATTAAACACTAGTACAATTCTCGAATTTGAGCTGGATTCTAGTTTTCAACAGATACTCCTGTTTTCACAAGAAAGTAGGCTCAGGAGAGGACCAAGTAAGACCAGAACGTCTTAAAGATTAAAAAGAGGTTAGAATTTGACTGTTTTACTGATGTTACGACCTCAAGATTTATCAAGAAGCACAACAAAATGAATAGGAAGTGAGAAATTAAGAGTTGAAAGGGGTTTTTAGAAAACTAACTGAAATATCTCATCTTCCAAATGAGGG